GGGGGGATATAACTTTACTATTGTCTACTATTCTTACTTAAAATAGATATTCTGTTTCCAATTTTTTTAAAAACCCAACCGAATAAAGTAGAAGACAAGTGTTAAAGGAAACAAATTTTAATTACTGAAAAGGCAGAATAAGTTTGCGAATCTAGAAAAAGGATCTGTTTTGCGGGGAAGATAGTGTTATATCGATGTTCAATCGTACATTGTCAAAAGCGGGGTACCAGATGATGTCAACAGTATAAGTGGGTTACAATAAAGAGAGTAAATCGAATTCTGAGTATGACATAAGTGCACAAGGTGAAATTATGTTTTTAAAAAAATACAAAAACCAAAACAAAACAAAAACAACCCCGTCCCCCCACCAAACCAAACGAACAAACAAACGAAAAAGCCTCTGACATATTGATATATCGGTGCTTGGCTAAGAGAAAAAAATATATATCGGTGCTTGGTTAAGAGAAAAAATATATATCGGTGCTTGGCTAAGAGAAAAAATATATATCGGTGCTTGGCTAAGAGAAAAAATATATATCGGTGCTTGGCTAAGAGAAAAAATATATATCGGTGCTTGGCTAAGAGAAAAAATATATATCGGTGCTTGGCTAAGAGAAAAAATATATATCGGTGCTTGGCTAAGAGAAAAAATATATATCGGTGCTTGGCTAAGAGAAAAAATATATATCGGTGCTTGGCTAAGAGAAAAAAATATATATCGGTGCTTGGCTAAGAGAAAAAAATATATATCGGTGCTTGGCTAAGAGAAAAAAATATATATCGGTGCTTGGCTAAGAGAAAAAAATATATATCGGTGCTTGGCTAAGAGAAAAAAATATATATCGGTGCTTGGCTAAGAGAAAAAAATATATATCGGTGCTTGGCTAAGAGAAAAAAATATATATCGGTGCTTGGCTAAGAGAAAAAAATATATATCGGTGCTTGGCTAAGAGAAAAAAATATATATCGGTGCTTGGCTAAGAGAAAAAATATATATCGGTGCTTGGCTAAGAGAAAAAATATATATCGGTGCTTGGCTAAGAGAAAAAATATATATCGGTGCTTGGCTAAGAGAAAAAAAATATATCGGTGCCGGATTGTTCTTTCAGTGCCCGAGTTCGATGCAGCAGAGTCTGTCTGTGAAAGTCTTACGCCCCCATCGACACAATTTACACCAATTTGGTATTAGATCTAATCTAGTTTTAGTAAGGTTTTACGGCGCTCGCAACTGCATAGGCTCAGATAAGCGCCAAGGGGTGGATGTCAACAGAGCAGAAGTCCTTACAGGGAATCACGCTTACTCTGCTCACCCCTCTAGCTTTAACAGCACAAGAAGTCTGCTTCGACTATCGAGGCAACCAGGAAATAGCAGGTCAAATGAGTGTGACAAACATACAAAAGAACTGGAGGAAAAATGACGGTGATAAGGATTGGGAAAGAAAAAGCAGCAGTTCCCTATTGCAGTTCAGGCACAGTTATGAGATTGACATCAGCCCATTTACAATTCTGCTGTGCATAAGAACATGCCCATCCCCCCCCCCTTTTGAAAATGGCATAAAGACACTTCAGTTAGTAGCATCGCCCCGAGGGGTGGGGGGCATTTTGGTGAGGAGCGTCTAAATCCCTACCTTGTCAGAAGCCCGCGGGCTGAGCGGGATAATGAATCACAACTGAGTAGGGGAGGCAATCGATAAATTGATAAGGCTATCCCACGCGAGAATCAATCTCACGCCTTTTGAGTGGCATAGTGGAAAAGAAAGATTTTAGACTAAACCAAAGACTTCAGTGTTTATTAGCAAAGTCGTCTGAATTTAAAGTGTTTTTTTGTAATACGAGTTTTACGACACTTGCAACACAAAGAGACCATAATAATATATTATAAGTGCCGAAAATAATAGAGATTTTTTTCTTTCTAGAGAGTAACCTAGGGGGGGGGGGGGGGGCTCTCGTGGCCTAGAGGTTAAGGTGTTGGCCTCTCATTCAAAGGTCCTGGGTTCGAATCCGGGTAGCGACCGAAACATTTTCCTCTCTAAAATTGTCTCCTTTCACCTTCTTTCCTGCTCTCTAGCAATGTTCTGTTGTCACCTTTCATTTCCACTTTCTGCCCCCACCCCCTCACCTCCTTTGCCCCCTCCTCTGGGCTCCTGACTCTTTCTGCAGCCTTTCTACTGCAACTCCTTGGCTCCTCCTTACTCAACTGCTGTCTTTCTGCCACAACCCTGATTTTCTGGTTGGAAAGACCTACACCTAGCCTTCTCGGACAAGGGCGAAAAATCTCGGAGGGCCCGTGTGCAAGTTGCGAACGTTAAAGTTCCCTTGGTGGTCTAAAATCGATAAGAGTAGGCTTCGGCCGCCACCCGGGCAAAATTCAAAATTTCCTACCAACTGAAAATATTAGGTGTGTCCCGTGCACTCATATGACCTTATGCAGTTTGCAACGCAGTAAAACACTTTACAAAAATAAAAGAGGTAACTTTCAAAGCAAAAAAAAAGGAAGATAGATTTTTGATAAGACAGAAGGAGCAAATCAACCCACAGTACAAACAAAATAAACCACCACCACCATTACTAACAAGAACAAGAACAACAACAATGACAACAACAACAACAACAACAAAAATAGCTTGACCTAACGAACAGAGGGAAAGACAATAAAAAAAACCCCCTCCAATGGCACCATCCAACCAAGCGCTGCTTCATCTTGCTGTGATAAGGTGTGCAGATTTGACAGTTGCTCGTGATTAGCGTCATAACGTTTCCATCATTTCTGTTCTCCCGGCCTTTGTTCACAGACACATAATTTTCAGCAATACATAAAGGCATAATATGAGGTGTTAGAGGGTGGAGATCAGTTAGATAAAGAGAGTGAGAAAGAGTGCGAGAGGAAGAAAGAAAGAG